AAAAAAAAAAAAAAAAAAAAAAAAAAAAAATCAGGTACATATGTTATATTTATGATACATAAATCACAATGTACATATATAATTCTTTGAGACAGACAAGATTACAAACAATATACAGTAATGAGTAGTAAGTTTAAATAAAAATTAATATATGTTAAATTATTTTATTATACAGAATACATTACGATCTATCTTGCTTCTATTCGCCTTAATAATATCTCAATGATGTTATCGATATATCGGGATATCTGTATCATTTCAATATATCGATATTTATCAACAATTTCTCAAATTTCAAAAACAATTACATAATTACTATTCAGTAGAATGATTTCATATAATAGAAATGCGAGATGAAATATATAAAAAATATATAAATATATTATAAATTTGATTTATTATATTTCACCAGTTATTTCTTTGCTCTGGTAACAGCAAAACAACTGATTATATTCTCGCGTATATACATTGTCGTAATGTTATTCGTTACCACATAATATGTAGCATAATATAATACAGTCCATTGTATATGTATACTGTACGTGTCTTACAAGAAATCGCAGAAAGAGCCGAGGTTTGATTCGTTATTGTTTAGAAGTGACATCTACAAATCGAATCGTGTAACATCGCGTGACGAAGAGAGTGAATAAGGTATATAATTCGAGACCGAACGGCGCGCTCAGCGATAAAGCATTGGCGTAGCCATAAGATCAATGTTAACTGTTTAACAAAAGATAAAAAGAGTACCGACGGAATTTGTCTCACTACTAAGTAAGCATTTCGGGAACATCAAAGGCGGAATCGGACAAAGCGAATAGAATATCCCCTCGTCCCATTGTCGTATTGCGAGACTTTTTGTGAGACATGTACACTATATACATATGCACTTGTAAATGTTCTATTTTACCATTAATCGATCATTTAAATTTATAGGAAAATTTTGCGAAAAGGATGTGAACGAATGCGAAGTGGAAGGAACCTCTTTGTGCAACAATGGTATCTGCGTAAATACAGATGGCAGCTATAATTGCTTCTGCAGACCTGGCTTTTCCGGTGATCACTGTGACATCGATATCGACGAATGTTTATGCGGTCCTTGTAAGAATAACGCCACTTGTATCGATGGTATTAATACGTTCGAGTGTCAATGTCCACCTGGTTATTCTGGGAAAACATGTGACATGGATGTAAACGAATGCGAGAGTAACCCTTGCTTAAACGGCGCAACTTGCATTGATGAAATTGCCAGTTACAAGTGCACTTGTTTACCTGGTTTCCGTGGACCAAATTGTGAGATAAATATCGACGATTGTGAACCTGTACCTTGCTTGAATCATGGTCAATGCATCGACGGCATAAACAATTATACTTGCGACTGTAGTGACACCGGTTTCGAAGGTGCACACTGTGAGAAAAATATTGACGACTGCCGATCAGAACCCTGTATAAACGGTGCTCTTTGTATAGATGATATTAAGAACTACAAATGTCAGTGCTATGCCGGTTATACCGGTAAAAATTGCGAAGTCGATATAAATGAATGCGAAAGTTCACCTTGTCAGTATAATGGTACTTGTTTAGAGAGGTCCAACATAGAATTGTACAAAAGCGATGCATTAACGCTACCTTCGATATTTAACCAAGAATTCAGCTATGCAAATGCGAGTGGGTAAGCATTATAATGTTCAAAGTAAAAGAACGGACATGACAGAGATCTAAACGCAATATAAATTTAATTATAATTTTAATATCTCTTTCAGATACGAATGCCTTTGTGTGCAAGGTGTGACGGGAAAAAATTGTGAAGTAAATATCAACGAATGCGATAGTAATCCATGTCAAGCTGGAACCTGTGTGGACCGTATCGGCGGTTACACCTGCGAATGTGACGAAGGATACGAAGGTGATCATTGTCAGCATGACATTGACGAGTGTAAAAGATATTCACCTTGCGAACATGGTGTGTGTACCGATGGCCGCGCCGATTATACCTGCACTTGTGAGCCAGAATACGGTGGTAAAAATTGTTCAGTGGAGCTAATTGGTTGTCAGGGAAATGCTTGTCAAAATGGTGGTACATGTTGGCCATATCTCATTGATGAAACGATACATAAATTCAATTGTACCTGTCCTAATGGATATCATGGAGAAATCTGTGATTACGTAAGTTTCATTTGTATTTATTTTGATCTTTTCTTCTTCATGTAAAGGAAAATTTGGACTATATGTTGCTTATACTTACCACTTATTTAATTTAATTATACACTTGTTATATCTTGCACAAAAATATGCGACACAGAAGAAGGTGTGTAGATATAAAAATCAACATTTATCGCGCACTTCTATTCATATAATTTCATTTTCTCTTTTTCTCATAGGTAACGACAATGTCTTTAAATGGCAGCTCGTACGTTTTAGTAAATACTACGCGAGACGAAGGATACGACATTCAATTTCGCTTCCGAACGACTTTACCAAATGGATTACTCGCTATTGGAAAAGGCTCAACGTTTTACATTCTTGAACTTGTTAATGGCAAGTTAAATTTACACTCGAGTCTTCTGAACAAATGGGAAGGCGTGTTTATCGGCAGTGGTTTAAACGATTCCACTTGGCAGAAAGTATTCGTAGCGATTAATGCCACGCATTTGGTTCTATCAGCTAATGAAGAACAAACGATCTATCCCATTAGCCTGAACGAAGGTTCGAATTCCAATCATACATCTTTCCCAATGACTTATGTTGGTGGTACAACCAGTTACCTCCGACGATTAACTCATGGCCCGTCTTTCTTCGTGGGATGTACCGAGGATGTCGTTATTAATGGAGAATGGGTATGTTACACGTTAAATTACGGAGAATATATATATGTGATAAAAATACGATTCCTCGAATATACACGTTTTAAATAACTCTACGCGCGATTATTTCGGAAAGTATCAATACTGGAAAAAATGTTTCAGACAAAAACTGTATAAGGTATCGATGGAGACGTATCATGATAGTAATTGTTCGCTCTTGAGATAATTTTGCATAGACTGATGAAGATTATATTCAAATTTTTAAATAAGATCCCATATTTCGTATCACACATTGTTGTAGGTGATATTGAGATGTTTTCAAAACAATACCGACACATACATTTTATATAAGCCGTTACTAAGTTATTAATTTACGTGTCGCCGACATTAACATTATCCGATGTATGTACATCGTAGGCAAATTATTCGACCAACATTGATGCGTTTCTAAACGAAATCAATTAGTTTGTGCTGTATCGCTGTCATGCGACTTTGCGGGGGGGGGGGGGGGGGGG